CTGGGAGCTCTAGGATGCCTGGAATCCTGGATCCCGTCTCATCTGTCTGATCCTGCCTGTTCTGTCTGTTCCTGTTCTGTATCCCTGGCCTGGATCAGCTTCCTGCAAATCCTCCGGATCTGCAGCCCTGGAGACACTCTGGGTGAGGCACGCCGTGTCAGCAGTCATCCCATCGGCTGGATCGCACCCCCTTCATGGGTGATGGACTAAACTGTTAAACCAGGTGACTCATTGAGATTATCATCTCTGTCAGATGATCGTAGTCACTTACCTGTGTTTCCCCCATGGAGTGAGAGAATGGGCGGCGCCCCATCCCCCTCCTGCAGCATCCGCGAGCCGCAGTTCCTAGCAGCTCCTATTTAGTTACAGTTTGTTTTTTTATATTAATAAATTTTTTGAACTTTCCTACTGACTGTCTTGTCTTGAATACTGGGTCCATCTGTCCTGCTCTATGACAAAAGTCTAAATTTTGACAAAAAAATATTGTTTAAATATATGAAAAAACATAATTAAATTATACGTATATAATGTGTATAAAGTGGGTTTTAGAGTTGACAAAGTAGTTGTTCTCTGCCCATCCCATAATGCTGAGTTCATTCTATATTGTGGCATTTTGAAACAACTTTGTCAACAACTGCCATTGCAGCCATGCAAAATTCTGCAAGCAACTTTTAGGACAGCTCAGGGATAGCCCTAGGGGGATTTTTCATAATTGGGATATTAAAAATAGTTTTGAGTAGTTAGTATTAACTGAAATCTTGATTATAATTCTGGATGTGTGAAACTTTAAATGACAAGTCAGATGATGTAATTTGAGATATCTCAAAATGCATTTTGACTCTCCAAAATGTGATTAAAGATATCTTGAATTATTTTTCCTTAGACATTAGAAAATATAAAACATTAAGGGCAGTAAAAATTTAGTAAATGTCTATTCTATAAAAATTTCTGTATCTCTATAATAGTTCTGTATTATCATGAGTTGTCTTCTCAATTTAAAGGGCCCCTTGCCTGTCTTTGCCTAGGGCCCCATATTTTCTAAATCCACCCCTGCTTCAATTCTCTCCTCCGGGTTTCATCTGTTGTACCGAGAATTCCCACCCCTGTCACGGGCACCACCCTAAACTAACGCTAAATGAGTAAATGGAAATAAATTAGAAATCGAAATTTGAAAGACATTCATGTTTCACATTTCTTATACATGAATGCCTTAAATTTGATAGTTTTGGGGGACAGATAAATTCAAATTAATAGTTAATTCCCAGACTTAAGAAATTCATACCACAATTACAGAGAACAGGTATGATTACGTAGAGAAACTTGCATAATGGTAAACCCTTATTTCTCAAACTAAGCAGTGGAGGGAAATCTCCGCAACTTAGAACCTGGAACCTGCGGAAAATTCCCTTCTTATTATCACAGTCCCTCAAATTGTGTTGTCTTTGCTGCTTGGCTTTGATGCTGTCCAGAAGAGCGCAGGCTGTGTGCTACTCGTAGGCGCACAGCCTGCCAAATGTTGAAAGGGCAATATTACTGCCATTACTGTTAATATATAATAGTAATTAACACATTCAGTGATAAAATGTAACATGGTATGGGGGGATGGTCATTTAAAAAGGGGGATGATTTTTAAAAAGGGGGATGCCATCCTCCCTCCACCAGAGTACTGGATACACAGTGCCATGATGGGAACTGATAGAAGTAGTTTACAACTTTTTATATCAAAACGATAAACATAGCCCGTGTTTTGTATGTGTATTGTGCTCTGTTCTGATGTACTACTGGCAGCTGTAGACCAAACTACTCATGCAGGATAATAAAGAAACTTTGAACCCTAATGCTTCAACTGTTGCTCTTTTACTACCCTGCCTAACTGTCACGACTCCAAAAGGTGAAACTCCACCTTTATCCAGTAAACGGTCTACCTGTTTCATAGTCTCAAATATACGTGGAAGACGGCCTCATCCTTTTCTTCAAAACTTTGGACTTTCTTTTTTGTAATGTAAGTTAGCTTAGTTTCAATTTTCAGTTTGTTTACTGGGTTTTGATGTTTGCAAAAAATATTTACTCTTATTTCAACACAAATTTTAATATCTCTGCTGTTCTATTCTGTGTACTTATTAGAATATGAAGAAAAGCACGGGAGCTATACTTGAAATCTACAACTTGGCATTTTAACCATCCTTGTAGAAGTTATATATATCAAGTTAACCTTATAAATAATCTTAAAGCCTGTACCTGTCTGTTTAAAAATGTTTGTCGGTTTAACAAATGTTTAACCCAAATGTTAAACATTTATCAAACCCTACCCTTTCAGAGGTTCCTCTCTCTCCAGCCTACTCATTATGGCAGCTGTAAAATAACTGTTGTTGAGAGAAGGGATTGAAATGATAGCTATATGAATAAAGGTGTGTTGAAAGAGGTTAAGTTTTTGCAAATTTAAACAAATTTATACTTAACATTTTAGATTAAAACGTATTAAAAAAGGTAGCTTCATGAATCTCAATAAATCTGCAGTTATGTTGCTTGCTTTATTCACATTTAGGTGAATCCATTTAGATTACTTCCATACCATCCCACAAAAAAATCACTTAGCTTTGTCTGCTCAGCTGCTTGCTTGACTGCAAAGATATCATAGTATTTCTGCAGATGGACCCAGGCGTCTCTCTTGTGCTGGATATCTGATGTGCAAGAAAGAAAATGAACATGCTTTTAAACCTACTGTTAAAAGCAGGGGGGCTATATGTTAAATAATGAAGAATGATATTTCTGATTTAAGAAACATGTTGGTTATTTAGGACTTAGTAGCCCTCCCAAAAAAAGGAGAATTTTGAAATCTATTATGGATTTGCCAGGACGTAAATATAGGGTTATTGAAATAGAAAACAATATGATCTCTTTTTTCTATGGTGTATTTTTTTAACAGTGAAAGGCTTTTTAAAAAAAGATTGTATTCATGACTCATTGACTTGACAGAAACCAGAGTCACGGGGATAGCAGCTTCAGTAGGACCCAGACCTCCCCAAACACTTGGGCCAGCACCTCTGGGAAAATCCCAAGGCATTCCCAAGGCGTTTTCTCGGAGTAAAAAAGCACCGTGTCTCTGTCATGTTTTTATCTGTCTTAGATTATGGTGACATTTTTTATAAGAATGCTACTTCTTTATGTCTTCAAATGTTGGGCTCTGTTTACCATGCTTCATTAAGGTTCATCACAAACTGTAGAGCCATGACACATCACTGTGACCTGTACTGTCAGGTGGGGTGGCCTTTGGTACACTTTTACTTACAAGGCTCTTCTTGGATTAATGCCTTTTTACATTTGTTCCTTACTTACACAGAAAAGCATGGCTTCTTATACCCTTAGATCCTACAATCAGCTGTTACTTTTGACTGTTTTGAGGGGAGGACAACAAAGCTGCATGACACAGTAGCATGCACTGCGGCAGCAGCAGCTTTCAATAGAGCAGTCCATTGAAAGCTAAAAGTTCTGTTTCTGTTGCTGTTTTTCAATAAAAGTACGTTTTAAGATAATTTGAGGCGAGGACATTATACTTTAAAGCGTCACTATATGGTCCACTTACCTATTAAATGCGTAATAAAAAAAACAAGGACCACAGCAACCATCAGAGCTCTGAAACTAACAGCAGCCAGGGCTAACTTCAGCCCGTCTGCAGCGGCCCTCTTGCGGCAATCGGTTTTGGAATGATTAGACTTGGGGTTTTTGTTGAAACGTAAGCAGGGAGAGGCTCTGCGCTTATTTATTTTTGAGAAGGACGTATTCGCTGTTTTACAGACAAGCTGTTTGTTTCTCCCCCACCAGCTTCCTGTCACGCTTCCTACCTCACAGTCAGTTGGTCAGAGCATTGGCCAATAGGCACAGACAGCGGTTTGAAAAACAACGGGTTGTTCTCACCAACAATCTTCCGCTGTCTTATTCATCGGGCCAGACTAAGTAACACCTTTCATCTCCGTTTTAGTCTAGTTAACCACGCTACTCTCACCTGTATCCTACCTTTCAGACATTTCAACATCTTTTTCTGAATCCGACTTTGTAACATGGCATAGACAATTCGCATTTGCAGTTTGAAGAACACCTGCTTGTTTCTGATGATTCCCTTTAACTAACCAAAGAGTGTTTGCTTTATATGACTCATCCAATTACACTTTTTTTCACTAGATGTGGATTGCGCCACTGATATGCATTGGATGGCGCACATGAGGTGAAATATTTATAAACATAAAACCAAAGCCAAGAGTAACGAGTAATATTTGTCTTAAAAATGTAAGGAACAGAAAGTACAGATACTTGTGTGAAAATGTAATGAGTAGAAGTCAGAAGCTGGAAGAAAAATAAGTAGTGGAGTAAAGTATAGATACCTAAAAAGTGTACGTAAGTACAGTAACGAAGTATTTGTTACTTGACACCACTGATCAGGACACTAAGGTCTATTTTTCAATGATACCAGACATTAGGGTTTGGGGAAGAGAATGTCAACACAGTGAAGATTTTCTTGAGAAATTTGTAATTGACATGGAAATGGCATTCTGTGTCTGAAGGGCTGTAAAACTATAATGATGTATGACAAAAAAAACTGGGGACTTGATTCAAAAACTTTAAAGCCTCTTTTTAAAACGTATTTTAAAAAGTTGTTTTTATCTTATGTTTAAGCTTTTAAAAAAAGCACCGTCCACAGAGACTCACCAGTATCATTATGCTTGTGTATGCTATTTGTGGTTGGCTTCTACCCTGTACATTTGAACTTTGTTGAACTTTTGGATTAAAAATACCTCTAAACACAGCAGAAAGATTATTGAAAAATATGTAATTGTCTTAGGAACCAATAAAGTGTTTTTGAATTTAGTATCGAATTAAATCAAACGTCATACTGTTCTTCCTATTTGATCCGCTATGATTATTCCTAACTTTAATATTTTATGATTATATTTCATTATTGCCTTCATCAATTCAGAATGCTCTTATATTTCTCCTTCAGCAGCATGGATGAGTTTGACGGTAGAGGGGAGGGAGCCCCTTCCTCTAAAACCAGTTTGTGTGGTGAACATGAAAGCCAGAGCAACAGCCAGAGGTGAGATCATCAAAACTACATGCCCTCTGCCATTATCTCACACTATTCACAATATATCAGGCCAAAAAAGACATAATCATTACAATGTTGCTGTTCCACTTTGGCGCTACACCCCCACTTAACAATGACTGCTCAGCTTTTCATCAGTAGGTTCTTACAAAAAGCAGGTAAATGTTGCAGAACCAACCAACTGAGTCACACCAAACTGCTTGTTAGAGCTCTAAGCTAAGGCAGGATACATCAGAAAGAAACTCACTCACTTCCAATATATTTCTTGGATCTTGATCAGCAATATACATACTTGTACTTGTGGTCTCCAGCTTCATCTAGGACTGGGTTGCGGGGGCAGAAGTCTCAGTTGAGACTCCCAGACATCCCTGTCTAGAGATACCTCCTAAATCTCTGCTGGGGGAAGCCCAAGGTGCCATGAGAGAAATAGTCCCTCCTGTGTGTCCTGGGCTGTCCCTTGGGCCTCTTTCTGATTGGATGTGCCTCGCACACCTCAGCATCTGCACAATCCGTCCATCAATCTCACCTCCCTCGTAAACAGATACCAAGATACTTAAACTCCTCTAACCTAAAGGGGACAGGCCACCTTTTTTCTGCTTAAGAACCATGGAGTTGATTCTCATTCCAGATGCTTCCCACCCAGCTGTGAGCAGCCCAAGTGTATGCTGTAGGTTTTGACAGGAGGGATCCAGCAGAACCATGCCATCCACAAAAAGCAGGGGCGAGATCCACTGGTTACCGAACCACACCACGTCAGCTGCGGCTAGAAATCCTGTGCATAAAAGTTTTGAAAACGACTGGTGAAGAAGGGCAGCCCTGGCTGATTCCAACATGCACCAGGAACAGATCCAACTTAGTGCTGGCAATGCGGACCAGGCTCCACTTGTACAAAGACAGGATGGAACCCATTAAAGTGCCCCTGACTCTTAACTCTGCAAGGCACCACAAGACACCGTGTCAAATGCCTTTTCCACGTCTACAAAGCACATGTGGACTGGTTGTAAAAACTGATGGAATAACATTCCGAGGAGTGTGATTCCCCTAGAGCAAGTACACACCCTAATGTCAGCACCCCAGTCTGCTAATCCAGGGAAAAAGCATGTCAGCCAAGACAGCCTGACAACATCTTGAGCTCTAAGGTACTTTGGGCGGATCTCATCCACCCCAGAAGTCTTGCCACTGTGGAGTATTTTGACCACCTCAGTGACTTCAGCCTGAGTGATGAATGAATCCAGCCCTGAGCACCCCGCCTCTGCTTCTACCACGGAAGACATGTCAGCCGAATTGAGGAGATCCTTAAAGTATTCTATCCACTGTCCAAAGATGTGCTCTTTCAGGGTCAGAAGCTCACAACTCCATGGCCATTTTGCCTCTGCATCCCCTGGGCAGCAGCACGCTTAACTGATACCCGGTACAAACAGGTACTTACCGGGTCTCAAACTGTTTTCAGTTTATAGCTGGAGAAATATCTATTACCGTAACTGATATACATAACAAACATAATACTAAGTCATTGCTTAAAACTGGAGATGAATCTCATTTTTTTTGTTTCTGACCATTTCTTTTCAACAGTGGCTCACAATGTTAGTGTTTGCTTGTATGTAAACAGAACCTCATAGTATTTAGTTTTAATTATAACATGTCTTTTAGGATCCATCCAAAAATCAAAAAGTCCAATCCAGAATCCAGCTGTGGGTCTTTTAAAAGTGATAATTCGAAGGATTATCCCCTTGACTTTAAATCGTTTGGACCTACATCTTCAGACAGGTGAGTTGTACCAAACAGATTTTACTGTTGAAATTGAGTCCTCAATGTGGTATGTATCAGAATGTGTAGATTAATATATAGACTTAATTTTTTTTTGCCAAATTGTGACTGTGGAATATTTATATAAGAAAAATTGTTCACATATGCATAGATAGTGCTGGCAATGCGGACCAGGCTCCACTTGTACAGAGACAGGATGGAACCCAATAAAGCACCCCCGACTCTGAACTTTGCAAGTCACCACAAGACACTGTGTCAAATGCCTTTTCTACGTCCACAAAGCACATGTGGACTGGTTTTGAAAACTCTGATTGAATAACATTCAGAGGAGTGTGATTCCCCTAGAGCTAGTACACACCCTAATGTCAGCACCCCAGTCTGCTAATCCAGGGTCACTGTCTAACACCTCCATGAGATGTTGAAGAGGCATGTCAGCCAAGACAGCCAGACAACATCTTGAGCTCTAAGGTACTTTCAATTCTATTCAGTTTATTTATATAGCACCAAATTCACAACACATGCCATCTCAAGGCACTTTACACTTTACACTTTGGATCTCACCCAACCCAGAAGTCTTGCCACAGTGGAGTGTTTTGACTTCAGCCTGAGTGATGAATGAATCCAGCCCTGAGCACCCCGCCTCTGCATCTACCACAGAAGACGTGTCAGCCAAATTGAGGAGATCCTTAAAGTATTCTATCCACTGTCCAAAGATGTCCTCTTTCAGGGTCAGAAGCTCACCAATCTCAATGAAAATAGTGTAAAAAAAAGCACTACTTCCTCCTCCTGAGGTGCCGGACAGTTTGCAGAATTGTTGTGAGTGCAACCGTAAGTGTTTCTCCATGGCCTCTCCAAACTTTTCCATGGCCAGAGATTTTGCCTCTGCAACCCCCCTGAGCAGTGGCACGCTTAACTGATACCTGCTTGCTGTCTCAGGAATCCCACAAGGCAACCAGCCACAATAGGACTCCTTCCTCAGCCTGACAGCATACTGTCCACTAACCTAGTTTGGGGATTGTCACCACAGACCCTATGGTCAAAGCTACAGATGGCCGTATCAACAATAGATGCACAGAACATGGCCCACTAAGATTTCCGATTACTCCCCTGAGGTAGGACTAGAACACGTCCCTGACCTAGGGCTCCACCAGATGTTCCCAGCATACCCTCACTACCAGAGGTGTCAAGTAACGAAGTACAAATACTTTGTTACTGTACTTAAGTACACTTTTTAGGTATCTATTTTTCTTCCTACATCTGACTTCTACTCATTACATTTTCACACAAGTATCTGTACTTTCTATTCCTTACATTTTTAAAACAAACATTACTCGTTAATCTTGGCTTCAGTTTAATGCAGCGGTCACGAATTAGTGGACCTCGGTCCGAATCCTGACCCACCTGCTGCCTAATCCAGACGGAACCTGATTTAAAATATTTATAAATTACCACTTGTTGTCTGATGATAGTGGCTTAACGTCACTTCCGCCAATTCTCCTGTTACCCCGAAATCCCACATCCTCTGTAACTGCTCCACCCTGCAGCGCTCCAGACGGCCTGCACAGAGCAAAGCCTGCAGCCTCTAATTTTCCTCCCATATTGCTGCGCTTTGACTGATCCTCGGAGCTCGAGGAGAGCATTGGCGATATTATCATAGGAGCAAAACAT